CTACAATTAAAAGATATTGTGATAAAGGGAGATTTTTAAAAAACGAGTGGATCCTATCTATATCTATGCTAGATATTCCTGGAGGTTCTTTTTAATTCCCACTACAGGTAGAATTACTTGCTAAGCGAATAATGTTTTGCATGCTGCCATTTTTGTTGTTTAGTGGGTAGGGCCTGCCCTCGGGGCTTTTTTAAACGTTATATTTCATCTTTATTTATATATATAATGATCATCTAATAAATAAGGCCCAAATTATAGTAGGGCTAATATACTATTCTCAATAATAATTAGTTTACAAAAGTTGTATTTAAAAATCTTTTATTAAACACCCCCATGATTGATTGGCTCCCACTTTAGTCGCAAAATTAAAACACTTTGGATTATTACAATATACATGGATATGGCGGAAATAGGTTTACGCGAGTTATTTAGGCTAACTTGATTTTTATCGTGTGAGTTCAAGTCTCACTATCCATAAAAACGATATGAAAAATTATTGTTTATTAAGTGTGACAAATAATTTTTTTTTTTGCAATTAAAAACATTCTGAGAGGGCCCCAAGAAACTAATAATATTATTCAAAATATATATTTACATATTTAAATTTGCTGCGGGGCCCAGAATATTATTGGGCCTTTCTTTCCCCCATGTATTTAATTTTGATGGCTATAACCGTTAATTTATTAATAATTATAATTTTTGTCACCATTTTTGGGTAATATAGTAAGAGTTTGAATTTAAGGTTGTTTTCTAGATCCTTATCTTTTTCTTGACCTCCTTTCTGCTCTATCTCTCACTTTTCTTACGCTCAATATAGCAGAACCCCTATATTTGATTAATCCTCATTCGGGCTTGGGGAATAAAGATATGTCCTTCTACAGTGTATCCCTTGAGTTATTAGAAAGACTCTAAAATAGTTAATATCGATCCTTTATATAGGTAGCTTTTAGGCTATGCATATTTCTTCTGTCCTCTATATATTACCCTGAGCCCCTACTAGTACATTCCCCTCTTACTGGCTTATTATCTCTTTATTTGGTAATATAAAAATGAAGAAGATGTAACTTTTTATGATGTAATTTATTCTGAGGCGCTAAGGCGGCTCACCCCTCCCTCCCTTACCTTCCTCTTGGTAATCCTTTACCTACCTGTTAATGAGTGCTTTGTATTACCTGTAACCAGTCGGTCGATATAAAAACACAATGTTATTCTTATTTTCTAATAATGGCTTTGTTAATGCCTTAAAATTAACACATAATTTCGCTGTTCACGGGCCTCCCCTTAATAAACCCAAAAGTCTTAATTTTTCTCTACAAAAATAAATTCTAAAGGATTGCATCCTTTAGGATTTACAGGTTTTGCTGATGGTGATGCTCATTTTCAATTCTTATTAGTGAGTATAAAAAATGAAAATTGATTTAAGTAGATTTCAACCATTTCCCCCCACCATCGAGCAATGGATAGGTTCTTTATATTTATCAGAAATTGAAAGGATTCTTAGAAAAGAGTTAAAAGGACAATCAGGTGTCTACGGATTTATTTGCAAAAGTAATAATAAATTATATATTGGATCTTCAGAACAATTATTTACTCGGTTTAATGAGCATGTTAAAGGTACTCGATCTAATATCATACTTCAAAATGCTATTAATAAATATGATCTTCATGATTTCATATTTATAATATTTGAAAACTGTCAGCCAGAGGATCTGATCTCTCGAGAACAATTCTATATTGATTGTCTTAAGCCTGAATTTAATACACTTAAAACTGCTGGGTTTTTGTTAGGGTTTAAGCATTCAGAAGGTACGATTGCTTTAATGGGTGGTGAAAATCATCGTCGTGGGGTGCTAGATAAAACCCATTCTGTTATAACTAAAGCTTTAATAGCTGAAGCTCTAAAAGGTAATAATAATTCGAGTAAAAAAGTTCTTGTTTACTCATTTGATGCTGAGATGAAAGAGACTATTCTATATAAATCCTTTGATACTTGTACAGAAGCTGCTAAATTCTTTAATTGTGCTAATGGGACTATATCATATTATTTAAATAAAAATCCCGGAGCCGGCCCTAAATTATTTAAAAAACAATACATTTTATTATTGGCAGGGGACTAATTAAGTATATCAGTTTGCCTTTTATTTTCATATATCCTTCGTTGAATAATCACCCCCTGAAAGACAATTTAAACCAATTTTATTAGGTTTTTTATAAAAATCAAAAAATATTTTTTTTTTTTTACAATTTTTAGAAACATATAAATCTTTTATAAGAGATTTTAGGTATACTTGATTTTTTTATCGTGTGAGTTCAAGTCTCACTATCCTTAATTAAAAAAATATAGGCCTAGAATATACCTTCCCCCCGTCAGGCCCTCCCAGAATAACAATTAACCAATTTGTAGAGAGAAATAATTTGAAGAGGGTCTTTCCCCTCCCCCTCCCTTATTAAATATTTATAAATAAATAGACTGTGTATTTTTTAAGAAAAGGATGCTAGTTTTACTAGGGTCTGAGACTTTTAATTGAAGAAACTAAGAGAGTTCAGAGGAGGGACTAGCCCTTTGGGTCGAGCCCCTCTATTTAAGGAGGGGATATAGAGTAAGTAACCTTTTATCCATATAAAATACCTATTATGTTTTCCTCTTCTTTATTTTTTTCTCTCTGTTCTGTTATCTCTACACGTTCTTATGAGAGAAAGTATTTTTCCTCTCGGGATTTTAGTCTCCCCCCCCCTTAATCTTACTGGTTGCTTTAAGAGGATGATCAGTTTAAGCTTTAAAAATTTTAAAGCTTGCCTCTTTTTATTTCTATATAATTTAAAAATGAATTTAAACAATTTAAATAATGGTTCTTGGAAAATTTTCTGTGTATTCTCTTCTACAGAATTTTATAAAACTGATTCTTATAATCTTACTGCTTCTATATATTATACTCAAAAGTATAATAATATAAAAGATGTACCTAGTATGTTACTTGAGCACAATTTTGATCATGTTTTTAATATTGGTCCAGATTTATCTGTATCTAATCATGAAATTCTTCTTATAAATGGTGAAAAAATTTACTGTTTTTAATTATAATTTAGAATCTATTTTATGTGATGGGGAGTTATTTAAAGATACGTTGGAGACAAAAGTTATTAGTAAATCTCTTTTTATTTTTAATAATTTAAAATGGGAAGATATTACTAAAGCATTTTTAACTAGAAAAATTCTAGTATCAGGTGGATCTTCTACTAAACGTCATATAATTTCCCCTCTTCATGTTAAGTTTATCTTTGTTCTACATAGTTTTGGTTATACATACCAAGATATTGTTTCATCTTTTAGTAATATTAATAAAGATATTTGTATGCTCTAGCAGTTCATGGTTATTCGGCTTTTTCTTTATCAATGTTTGAGTATATTGATATTTCTAACTTATCTTTAAAAGAAGCAAAAAATTTAATTCTTGGACGAGAACAATTTTATCTCGATCTTATCTTTAAATAGGCTGAACCAAATACATATAATATACTTAAGGTGGCTGGTTCTTTATTAGGATATCAATATACTAAGGGATCATTAGCTAAAATGAGTCTTGCTCTATCTGGTGAGAAACATTGGGTGTTTGGTAAATCTCATTTACCTGGGACTCTTGCTAAAATGAGTGCTGCTCTGTCTGGTGATAATAATCCAATGTATGGTCGTATAGGTGTTAATAATCATATGTATGGTAAGACTGGCGAAAAACAACCTAATTATGGAAACTATAAAAAAGTATTTCTTTATGCTTTAGATTCTGAGTTAAAGGATTTTATTTTACATAAATCTTTTAATAATTCTTTAGATGCTGCTAAATTATTAGGTTGTAACATACGTGTAATATATAATTTTTTAGATAAGAATAAATTATTTAGAAAACAATGGATTTTATCTACCTCTGAACAAAATAATTCATCTAGTAGTCAAACAGATACTAAATAAACAAACATTATATAACAATAAGGGTATATTAACTATTATTGTTATTAATTATTATTATTATTAATTAAGGCAATTCTAGAGAGAAGAAGGGTCTAATTCTGCATAAATCTTTTAATTCTTGTATAGAAGCTACTAAATTCTTAGATTGTAGCACACGTACTTTATCTAAATATTTAGATAAAAACATATTATACAAGAAACAATGGATGTTATATTCCTCAGAGCAAAATTAACAATTTCGAGAGAGAACGTAGGGGGGGGGGGGGGGAGGGTTATATACGTTCTATAATAATTTATTTTGTTTAGATTACAAAATTTTGTTAACTCTAAACACCCCCCCCCCCCCAACCAATGAGGGGTCTCCACTAATATTCTCTTGGATTTTTTTTACTAACCTATATTAGAATATTATTATATAACCTGTAATCAGTCGGAAGATAAAAAAAAAAGCAAAATGATAACTTTATTTAACTATAACAAACTTAACCGTACTGTTGCTTTTAATCCCACTCTTAAAGCAACTTTTAATCCTTTTGTGGGACAATCTCTTTTATCAACAACCTTGCCGTAATATTTTTATTAACTATCTTTTTAATTGATTATAATATTCAAATATTAGGAGGGTTCTCTCAAGCGACAAAATTATATAACCAATCTTTTAAGATACTCTTATCTTTTGTGCCTATAATTATATACTCTAATGCAGATACTGATAGTTTAAAGGGACTGCTTTAGGCAATATTTACAAATTAACATTTAATAGTTTGTATGGCAGATACTGATAGTTTAAAGGGACTGCTTTAGGCAATATTTACAAATTAACATTTAATAGTTTGTATGGCAGATTTGGGATGACACCAATTAAAACAAAAACTGTGGTGGTAGAACAATCAGAAAAAATACTACTAAATTGTATAAAAATAAATTGATCTTACGTTCTAACCTACTTAATTAAGAATCCCCATTTTTTTTTACACCCCCCCATGTTTGACCCATCCCGGGGGTCCCCTTTATTTATTTTTAAGATATTAATAGGGAATTAGCTTAGTGGCGAGAGCAACTTACTTACAATAAGAAGATGAAAGTTCAATTCTTTCATTCCCTAAATAATAGATAAGAAGATGAAAGTTTAATTCTTTCATACCCTAAATAAGAAACTATCTCTTGTAAGTAAGATTATTATTGATTTTCATAAAAAAAAGATAATGTTTATTTGGGGCTTGAATGTTGTTCGAATCAGACATCCGATAATAAAAATAATCATTAATAATATAATCATTAATAATATAATCATCATAAATATATTCTATTTTATAAGGATCATTTAGATTAAATTATCTTTATCTTAAATTGTTCAAGTCTGTTTTTTCATATTTATCCATATGGTACAACTAAACAATAACCTTAAGACTCTCGGACCCCTTTAAATGACCCTTTAATTTTTTAATTGAATATTAAATAAATAAAGGATTCTATACTCAAAAAAAAAATTATGATACGATGGTTCCCCAACAAATATTAAAGGTAGGTGTTCTTTATACCTAAATTTCGCATTATTTTCAGTTATAGTAGGGTTCTTTGTAACTTTTTTGCTATTATTTGATGTTTCAAAATTATCATTAACCCCTTCTTTTCAGGATAGTGTTTTTACATTCTTTGATCCTATAATGAATTATTCTGATGCTGAAACGGGCAGATCGCAGGTCCAGTCGGGTAATAAAGGTAAAGCTGGTATTTACTTATGGACACATAAGGGGCCTGATGAAAGATATATAGGGAGTGCAGTTATTTTGTCCAAACGATTAGAAAATTATTCTAATAAAGAATATCTTATTCGTTATAAAAAT